GAACAGAAAATTATGAATATGTATGTGAATTGTGATACTAGCATCAAATTAGAAATTAAAAAGCTTGAGTTTCTCTTGTTGGTTTTCTTTAGTCAACATAGTAGAGTCTACAGACAAAATATTTTCAAGGTTAGAGTAATAGTATTCCATTTTATTTATAGGCATTTACTTATTACAGAGAGGCCCTAAAGAATTCTGGGCCAACCATGAACTCTCCCAGGAAGTTCTTTGAGAGCAAGAACTATATCAACTATTTACATTACATATATCTGCTGCCTCTCTGCCATCCCAGCACTTGCGACTAAATTTTTTTGTTTCACATACAGAGGTTATTCTAAACAGTTATTATAGACTGAAATGACAAGACAGTTACCCTAGGTTCTCTCTAACTCCAGATAATACATTATGTGCTTTTGTTCTCAAGATATATTACCAAGATGAAATGATGCAAATTGCTTGTATAATTAAATCCAACAATTACTTTGCATTGAGAAAGGCAAGTCATTTTATTTTAAACAGTAAATAGGTTTAAAACGACCTCTGGGATTGGAAGAGCTCAAACAGATAAAAATAATTGGGCATTGCAGCCTAATTTAGTTTCCTATAATCCCTTAGGATTATTCAAAAATAATACTTAAGTAGAGATAATAAGAGAAATAAACAACTATAGAGAAAGAAGAGAAAAACTGAGTGTTGAGTAATTATCCTGCATTAATTTTTTTTTAATATTCAGTATACCTAATGTATTTTGCAGCTGTTTTATTCTTTATAGTAAAACTGAAAAATAGGTTTTTATATATTTAATTTTTGCTAATTTTTAAGTGGAAAGGAAAACTATTTTGACATAGTAAAAAAATGTAATAGTTTTGGTAACACAGAAGGACTAAGCAGAAAAACACTTGAATTTAAGTCAAAAAACTATAGTCCTGGTTCTAACACAAATTGTAAATCTGAACTTCATAAAATGATGGAGGTGTTAATTTTTATCTTAAAAAATAAAAGAGATTATTTTATCAGGGCTTTTAAGATGTGAGTCTTATATCTTTAACATTCTTGATTCTAAAATACATCTATAACTTCAGAAGAAAAGAGAAATTGAGATCCAATAAATGGCTCTGAGCGATAGAATAAAGAATAGTTTTGGTTAGGTCTAGATGAAAAATACATCATGACAGAAAAAGAAAAAAAAAAACTCTAGCCTACATATGAGAATTTTAATCTGGAGGAAGCACTCTATTAATGAAACCAAGTTAACTGGCAATAAAGAAATATACTGTTTTAATTTTGGTTAATATAGCTAATGGTAAGAGAAGGATTTTGACTGCAGTTACTGAGAGAAAAAGGGAAGTGAGACTGGAGAAAAACATAAGCAATTCCAAATAGGATAGAACCAAGCGGAATCTCTATTGGAGTGTGGGGACCACAAGGCATACTGAGGACAAAAATCTTATCTATGAAGTACTAATGTTTACATTGCTAAATACAAAAAAAGTGACAGAGAATACAATCAACTTTTAGAGTTTAAAAGCCTACGGAAATGATAATTACAATGGAGAGTCCTAGTATAAAACACTTAATTACGTTAGGCAGTTGGACCAATATGTTTTACCTTTTTAAATTTATCATTTTAATCAATCCTTAAACTGATACTACTATTACAATAATTGTATGAAAGGGAAACTGAGGCTTATGTTAAGTAATTTGCCCAAGGATGCTCAGGGAGAAAGTGTCAAAGTCGTCATTTGAACCCAGGCTATCTGATTTCAGGGACTACCTTAGGGTGAATCTCAATTTAACCTAACCTGTTTTCTCAAGAGGAAATGAGGTGCACGGTATTAAGTCACACAACCGGCAAGGAGCAATTTAACACACATTTTGTGATTTGGTCTCTTAATATCTCATGTATTCTCATATCTTCCTAATTATAAGCATCTAAGTAAAATTCTAGCTTTTTTTTATAAAATAGTATTTATTATCTGTTTATATTTTTAATGTGTGTTTGTAATTCACCTAATTCAGGATGGGAAGGTACTTCTCAATTATTGTTACTCAAACACTTGCTCCTATGAAATTGAAGAGGATAAATGAGAATAGGTTTTTAAACACTGTAAAAAATTTACTTACAAACTGCCACAATAAAATTAAATTAACAGTTTCAAAATATGGAAAATTTAAGTCAGAAAATTAATCAAACTTATTATTTTCTATTAATACACAAATAGGAAAAACACATTCATTTGGCATTCAGAATAAGTCAACTGGCATGTAGCATATGGTATTTAATATGGTTTTCATAAAATGTTCAAGGGGAGATTAAATTCAAAGGACTAGAGTGTTTTCTAACAAAAGCAACTGCAGTGGATTTAATATTACATTAATAATCACATTAAAATATAATTGTATTTTTTCACACACACTGCTTTATTTCTCTTAACCCTTAAAGAAAAGAAAAAAAATAGGAAAAAAAAAACCATAATGCTTGTATATTACATACAAGTGCTTGGGAGCAGTGGTTGTGAAGGGGTAAATAAATCAGACATGAGAAAAATGAACACTTACAGGCTAAATCTAGCCAGACATTATAATCCATCACTGATCCCTAAAGGGCACTAATAATATGTAAATGTGTGAATTAGAAAACATATTCAAGGCTGTTGATAAACTTGATAGGATAATCAGCACATGCTGACAGACTAATGAAACTGATGAACTGATAGGGCAGCTTATCTCCTGGGTCATTTTTTTTTTCTCGTCAAATGGAGGCTAATCAAAATGTATTAGGAGTCAAAGCAAACACTTGGGGGATTTAACCCATTTTGATTAGGAGGTGAATTCACTTTCTGAGAAAATTATAGTTTCCTGAACAACTGAAGCTATAAAACCTGATTGGCTAACAGACCTTGACATAAAATTAAATAGAAGGCAGCCACCATAATCATAGAAAAAATCAGGAATGTTAAATATAAAGAACTTCCCTTTAAAAATTGTGAGGGTGCTTTTCAGAGTCTGGACAAAGCAACCATCTCCTTCTTTAATGGAAAATAAGACAAAAGATTAAGCAATAACCCCCAGGGACACACTTATCTTTTGCTGCCTGTGTGAGCTGAGCATCTGTGTAACCATATGAAAGACAGATCCCAAGGTACTGGCTGAATTTCAAATTTATTAGCATAAAATAATTGAATGAATGTTTGAAATAGCTAACTCTGGTGAACATCGCCACTTCCAAATAACAACGACAACAACAAATATACTACATACAGGCTGTTGCTAAGAATCTTAGAAACGTATCCTAATTTAAAGAAAGATGTCTTATGTGATAACTGAGAAAAATTGGGAATAAGGCCTTGCAAGCACTAGAATTAAGATTAAAATAATAAGCTAAAATCAAAGCTAGAGAAAGCAATTCTTTCAGTATTTACTTTAATGCAAAAACATCCACCATTAAAGTAAAAAAGTTAATTCAATTCATTAATCTACATATCCTAAACACATGCTTTATGGACATGTATATTTCATTTGTATAGATAGATTGATGGTGAAATGCTGGATAGTGAAATGTGTTGTATTAATTCATAAAAATGTAATGGCAAGAATATAGTTAATGAAACTAAATTTTACCTTTTAATAATTATACCAACGAGAAAAAAAATGACAATTAAAAAAATACTCCAGTGTGCTTTTTAATATGACATTCAATCACTCTACTGCTGCACAGGCAAATTAGGGGTGAGATTCCCACAGACATGGAATAAATATTTTAACCTCTTCCAAATAATTTTGTTTTTCTCTTTATGGACAAGTGCTCCATTGTATCTCTAAACTATTTCTAAATTTTCTGTCCTTTGGAGAAAAGAGAACATGAGTGCTCTTGCCAAGTATGTATTTTGTAGTTTGGGAAAGCTTGAGATTTTCTTCTGTGTTCAAGACATAGCTACTATTAAATTCCTCCAATCATAGAATGTAGAAGTGTTCAATAATCCTGGAGATTATATAATCTAATCTCATTTATTTTTCTATGTATGAGAGAGGCCTAAGAAATATTAAACAACTTAAGCAGGTTTAATGAAAAGGGAAAATCTGAGTTTGCATTTTGTGCTTGGAAAGAAAGAAATATTTGATTTGAGGACAAAAGTAAATGCTTCTCTTCTCTTTATTATCTCCAAGCAGCAATATTAATCAATCATTAGGCCACCTTACTTTAGGGATCTTTTTCCAAGTGTGATATGCTGAATATGTAGTTTGTAGTTACAACCACGATCAAACAGCTGTGGCAAAAATTTGCTACAAGGCAGGCAGGGATCAATCACAGATAATAGGTATAATATTTTATTATAATTTCTCATTCTTCACCTCTTACACCTAGAAAAATCCACGCCCCAGATTTATATACTTTCTGATTAATGAGAATTAAGCTAATTATTCAACATAAAACATAGAATAACTGTTGTAGAACATTAATAGTCTGTATAATCTCATTTTTACTCTAACGTATTACTCTGAAAAGTTCTACTGAAATCCAAGTGCTTGTCAATGAAACCCACACATTTGGCTCATTTATCTTATTTTACAAGCATCAGAGTTCATTAATCTCCCTGTCATAGCATGTTTAGCTTTGGGAATCTTCTGATTAAGAAAATACTGTGATAGAAATTATCATGAATTTGATAAACCTACTAAAATTAATGTCTACTTGATTCATCACTAATCATTATTGAAAAATTACACATACGTAGATTATTTTTACAATCTCTAGGGTCTAGCTAATATTCAGTACCCAGATAATTTTGAGAGTCCCTTGCAATAATTCTGGGATATGACCAATGTGTTGGGAATTGCTGCATTAATGCATTTATTTGTTACGTCAGAATAAATATCCTGTGTCAGAATTTGAGTATGATGCCAGATTGTGAACATTTTTTGTGAGGATTAATATGATTTATTAAAATTCCATTACAGGTCCCGGAAATACCAATTTAAAATACTGATGTTTTACTTACCCATCATGTTGTACAAGCTCTGTGGGGCAAACTGCCTTGGCATTTTCTGAATTGCTTCCTTGTATACGCTAAGGGCCTCCTAATTTATAAAACAAAAAAAGATATAAATCATCACTAATGTGCAGGGATCTTCACTATAAATAAGATAATAACATTCTCCCAAAGTTAAAACCATCCACTGCTGTTTCCATAGAGGAAAATAATTGAGCTGTCCTTTTGTGACACACTATCTCAATTCTACCAATGAAAATACTCAGCCCAGTCAGTGAAGAACGCCATAGCTTAACGAGGCATCGAATGTTAGCAACGCTCTTTTAATACAAATTTTCTAGTTCATACAGATTGTTCAACTATAAAAACTAAAAAAAAAAAAAAAAAAAAAAAGTTTGGAAGTTACCCATTAGTCATCTAAATTCCATAATTACTTTGAGTCAGGAAACCTGCTACGATCTAAATATAATGTCAGCTAACAAATCTTCTAGCTCTTGAGACCCACTGAAATTCCTAAACGCAATTATTTTAAAAGTTGTCTTTTTATCCTTATGTTACTGTTTTAATACATTGTGTAAGAGTACGTGAGTGGGAGGTCAGGGGAAAGCAGCTGGAAGGAGAGAGAAGGGCAATAAGGAACTCATGCAAACATGCTTCCTGTCAGAGGAAGGGAGGACCAGTCTGGGTCACCTCCTAACTTACTGTGTAACATCCTGTTACACCACCACTTTTTCTTATCACTCGGTTAAAAAATAATAAAATAAAATTTTATTTTAGTACAGTTTTTTAAAGAATTAAGAGAAATGGGTGGCATTTCTCTTAATTGCATTTCCTTAATATGCAACGTGGTATTTCCTTAATATGTAAAGTAAAAAGATATATTTTTAAAAATATCAAACACTGGGTATAGGGTAACAATTCTAGAAAGTGTTTCTTGGATCATCAAACCAAAGAAATGGAGAACAAAGAAGCTCGAGAAACATCACGTTATTTCCCCATTCTTGAACAGTCACAATACATATTGACATACTATAATTGCTCTGAGAAATGGACAGAAAATAAATCTATTACGTTTTTATTTAGCAGAAGCTTTTTCCAAACAAATTGGATCACAAACCCCTCTAATGTTATCACATAGTAGTTTCTCCAAGGACAATAGTTTAATGTGTATACGTACTAGTTGTTCAAAGGACATAGGGTCTGAAAGGAGGCTGTAGGTTAGAAGATACTGAGACTAGATCAGAAGAAGAGGGAAGGAAAAAAATAGAGAGGCATTGGCCAGACCTCATAGTGTCCCTGCTCATGATACAGCTTTCCCAGGTTGTACAGACAACTGGTAACAGAGCTCTTGTGTGCATGAGGGTCCTTTAGGTTTTCGTCTGGGATCTCAGAACACTTTAAGAATGTACGTCGGGCTTCTTCAGTCTTTCCTTGGTTCATCAGAATAATACCAGTATTTAAATATGCAGCTGAGGGGGAACAGTGGAAACAAAAGTGTGAGAAGATGATATATACTGTAAATAAAATAAAGTTATCTTTGTTTCTATTTGATTTCTATGGTTTAGTTCTCATTAAAAAAAAAAAAGAAAAAAATACTTATGGAACAAATACTCATGGGATTAATAATGGTAGGGGAAACTGCACTTATCACTGCAAAATATACGGAATAGTCTCTGCCAACAAGAAATCCCAAATATTTTTAAGCTCGAAATGTAGCTGAGTAAAAGTTATAGCTATCATAATTTTTTAAATGATCAATGAACAGAAGTATGATGCAACTGAAAGAGATATAATTGTTAGAGGTTCATAATTTGAGTAGCAAGTATTCAGAAATAAGAGCACCAAATGTTTTCTCAGTGAGGCTGTAAATTACAGAGTTAATTTTCAAATACGGAAAGAGGTATAAGAAATAATATATTGAACATTACTTACAAGCCAGGGTAGGCCTGCTCCCAATGGCCAATTTATAATAATGTAGTGCTTCTGCAAACCTGCTGTTCTCCTGTAGAAGTAGCCCTCTGCATGAGGAAAACAGAAATTTAGAGAAAGGACTGTATTATTATATATAAACCCACAAATTTTTATTTTATATTCCAAAAATAAAAAAGGTTAACAATGCAATAAAAATGCTAACCTGGTAGTATAAAAATACATTCTAAATATAAGGAAATGATTCCTCAGGAGGGAAAATAACTGGATAGGTATCAGTTGCATTTGTGCTGCATTAGAACGTATTAGGAGGTATTTTCTAAAAGCCTTTTACCACCCTTGAACTTTCCCCTTCTCTAGCTGTCTTTTCTCTCCCACTAGAATTACTAACCACCTGGATTTCTTCTTAGAGCATGCACATTTTCCCATCACTTCGGAAAGGAAACCTGTCTAATGCAGTGAGATATGAATATATGGAAACATGAGATGCGTCTCTCACTAGCTGTATTGCTTGAGAAATATTGGTGCTTGGCTGCCTGAAAGGCAAAAGGTAGTCTGGCTCAACAGCAAAAAGAGTCAGAGTTTGATCAGATGCTAAAAAAAGAACAACAAAAAAGACCAAGGGCTATCCACATCACCCTTTTCTTGATATCTGGATTTAGTTGAGTAAGACTGGATTTCAGAACACTGCACAAATTTCTGTTCACTGTTCCGAAAAACATCTTTCTCTGCAGATCTGAAGATTCCACAGACTTTCTTAGAAGGCTGTAAGGTAGTAACTACATGTACTATCTCAGTTATGCCAGAACCCACCCTCATAACCAAATGAAATCAATTACAGTCATGTCTATGAAAACAAGGTGTTGGAGAATAGAACTAAGTTCAAAAAGCTCTCACAGCGGGTTTTTTGGCCTATTCCCATTCTCTTGTAACCAGTAAGTATCTTACAGACAGTCTGCATATCTATTGAGCCTGAATACTGCTGCTATCATCTCAAATTGCAGATTCAACTTGGCAGCTGCTGAGGCCTTTGAAAGGCTGGTAAAATGGAGGTCAGAGAAAAGAGAAGGCTACTAATAAAAACTTATCATTCTGTTGAGCATTTTAAAATACATCACTTAATGAGCATCTTGAGAAAATATTTAAAATTAAAGAATGCTCACTTGTGTCAAAAGCATACATTAACAACTTCACAATTTTTCATAGTTGCTAAAATGTCATCTGAATAAAGAATTCCCAAACACATTAACATCAGTTTCACATATATATATTTCTATTAAAAAATGTAAACAACAGTTAATTTGATCATGAAATTAATATGCTGCACTGTTAAGTGTACTTGCCAGCTGCTGGGAATAAGAGAGAATAAAGCTTCCTGTAGTACTAAAGTACTTGTGGAAATGGTCAGTTTTATTCAAACATGGATAAAATTGAAAAAGAGAATGAACAAATTTTTAAAAAGGAATAATATTATTTACAACAATAATTTTATTGACATAATGCCTTCCCATTAATTAAACTCATATATATTAGCTAACTTCTGAAACTTATCTACAACTTTAAATGTCTTCATGGCTTTGCTTTAAAATTCAGATAAAGAGGGGCAACTCCTTTGATAGAAGGCTAAGGGTACCAGAGGAGAAATATCATTTAGATATTTAATTCTATTTTTTCTACCTTCTTTAGAATTGAAATCCTTCAATCAACCCCTTTGTCCAACATCTTCAGCTGCTTTTACCATACAGTTTCCTTTCATTCTATATCCACCTCCAACTACTGCTTATGATTGTTTTTCCCTTCAAAACCAGATTTTCTTTAAGAATGGTCTATGATGTATATGTCCAATGCCCCAAATCCCATTTACCCCTACATTCTAAATTCTGTTTAGAGTCTCTGCCCAGAATTCCCCTGATATGTCCTATTAAATTTCTACTAATCACTGAACCCCCAAATAGTGCACTTATGTGAAACTCCACTCAACTATTACACTTCAGACAACTGAACTCTTCTTCTTTCCGGAAATTCTGCATTTCCTGAGCTCCTGGGAGACCAGTCTCTTCTTCTTACACAGAATGAGAAAGAAAATGTCTCTTTATTCATGAACTCCTTTAAAAGGAGTTGGTGTTTTACAGGATTTTTGTACTTACATTCTCTATGGATAAACATAATCTCTGCATGACGTCATGCATAAACGTGGCTCATGTATATGCTGACTGCTCACAATTCTGAAAAACTTACCTCCTTCCTGACATCCAGATCTGCTTCCAAAAGCTGACTGAGCCACATCAAGACAGAAGCTCACTGAAATTTCAAAATCAATACACCCCAAAACTGAAATCAGTATCTCCCACTTAAAAATAAATAAATGAAATAAATAAAATGGGGGAAAAATCTTCGTAATTAACACAATCATTCACTCCAGTTGCTAAAATGAGAAAATTATCACTCTTAGGTCTTCACTTATCTTCACAATTCCATGTTTTGTCTCCTAAGCCCACCTGATTATTTTCTAAGGCTCTTTACTCTCCCACTCAAGGTTTATCTTTATGCCTCTGTCAGAGCCCTTTTTATCTTTTCTGTCACCTGAATAACTGCAATAGCTCACTAATTAGTCTCCACATAATTACACTTCTAAAGGGCAAACATGCTGTTAGGCTAGATGGAATGACCATGAAGAGAATGAGCACATATCTCTGACAATGTACCTAAAGCCTGCAAACCTTGAAAACAGATGTACTTAGCCTCATGGGATTCCCAATGCAGATAAACTATATTCCTGTCATTTTCCAATTCATAAAACATGCAAAGAAGCAAGAAAATGATAAATAGTATAATAACCAAACTGGGACAATCCTGTTCTGCCTCCCTTATTCTTGCGGGGACGGGGTGGATCCTAGTCACTCAGAGTGATTCAGGAAGTTGTTTTCAGGAATATATATATTGTGATTCTTTGAATTAGAATATCATCATCCTCTACATACTCTGAATAAAGTTAGCAATGGAGTGATTCTAAGATAGATGGCTGGCTACTGTGACTGACTTCTCATGGGCTAAGGATTTAAATGAGCATTAACTATGCCCAAGAATGGACACTGCAAATGTTAACAAGACAGAGATACACTTGCCTATGGATGCAAGATCTACTGAGGTAGATGAATATGAAAACATAGAGGACAGAGGACCAATATCGCCCAGCCCAGGAATGGACAAGGAAAGGTCCAGAGTTAAAATGACACTGGCAGAGGCCGAAAGCACGTCACAATAAAAAGAGTTATCAGCTCTCCATTGCAAAGGGAGAAAGAGAGGTTCAGAGAATTAACCAACTCTCTCTAGTTTTTATGGTTAATAAGAGGCAAAGCCAGAATCAGAACAGTTTCTGATACTAAATCCCATGCTCATTCTAGAAGGAAAAAGAAGAGAAAAGAGATTAAATAGTTCAACTCCAGGTACATGTGTGCTTGGTTATGTTTATTTTTGCTCTAAAACTTTCCAAATGTTAAATTGTGTTGACACGTGAAAAAGGAGTCAAGTGCCATTTTGGAAATTCTGGATAAATTTGGGCCAGTCCTAGAATTGTTATGACTAGGATTCTGTTAGTGCTGTTTTCTGGAATAAAACTCTTTTTTATTTTACCTATAACATGATAGACAGACAGAAATCCTTCATGTTGCAATAATAGTAATTGTGGCAGAGAAGCTTATTCAGCACTTAGAATGTACGGAGCATTTTACATATATTGATTATTACACAATAATCTTATGAAGTAGGACATTATTACTTTCTTCATTTTGCATATAATAAACCTTAGGCAAGAAAAAGTTAAGTAACATATCTAAGGTCAAACAACTAGTAAGAAGATGCCAAAATTCAAGACTAGTAGTCTGAATATATATGAGAACCTGTAATTTAATAAGTAATTCATACTAAAGGCTTTTACAACTTTTCATGACTGTTTAAAAATGACATAGTTTGTTTACATACATATTATGTCAAAATCTTCTGGTTTCTATGTATATGAAAAACAGGAACACATTAAAAATTTTTTTTTAAAAAAAACCTGATTCCCATATATTTGTTAAAATTTTAATTTAGATTCAAGGGGTTCATGTACAGGTTTGTTACATGTATATATTGTATGATTCTGTGGTTTGGGGTACAACCTATTCCATTACCCAAGTACTGAACAAGTACCCATTAGTTACTTTTTCAGCCATTGCTCCCCTCCCTCCCTCTCCACTCTAGTAATCTCCAGTGTCTTTCATTGCCATCTTATGGCCATGAATATTTAATATTCAGCTGCCACTTTCAAGTGAGAACATGCAGTATTTGGTTTTCTGTTCCTGCATTAATTTCCTTAAGATAATGGCCTCCAGTTGCATCCATGTTGTGGCAAAATACATAATTATGTATTTTTTATGGCTGTATAGTATTTCCTGGTCTCTACGTCTTTTTCTTTACCCAGTCCATCACTGACAGGCACCTAGATTGATTCCACATCTTTGTTATTTTGACTAGTGCTGCAACGAACATGTGAATAGATGTATCTTTTTGATAGAATGATTTATTTTCCTTTGGGTATATAGCCAATACTAAGATTTCTGGGTCAAATGATAATTTTGTTTAAAGTTATTTGAGAAATCTCCAAACTGTTTTCCACAGTGGCTCAACTATATTCCATCAACAATGTTTAAGTATTTCCTTTTCCTCATTGTCTCACCAGCATCTATTGTTTTTTGGACTCTTTAATAATAGACATTCTGACTGGTGTGAGATAGTATCTCACTGTGGTTTTGATTTGCATTTCTCTGTTGATGAGTGATGTTGAGCATTTTTTCCTAAGTTTGTTGGCAGCCTTCATGTCTTCTTTTGAGAAGTATCTGCTCATATCATTCTCCTGTTTTAATTTTTTTTAAATGGCATTGTCTTTTGCTTGTTTAATTGTTTACATTCTTTATAGATTCTGGATATTAGACCTCTGTTGGATGCACACTGTGCAAACATCTCCTATTTTGTAGGCTGTTTACTCTGTTGATAGTTTCTTTTGCTATGCTGAAGTTCTTTACTACAATTACGTGCTACTTATTAATTT